TTTGCTGGGGTGCCCCGTTATTCGAGAGTGATGTTGAAGTGGTGACAATGTTTCTGCAGGATTTCGAAGGTAATCCGAGGCGTGAATTCCTGCCGGTTTGCCGAGTACGTGTTATTGTCCAGTTTTTCTTTCATTTCAAGTACTACGAAAAGTCTCTGGATCCTGAGCGTTCTACTCCTCTGTTTAGTGCCATCAAGTATTGGTATGAACAGACCGCCAGTGTATGGCTTGTACAGCGTCCTGTATGTTCTAAACAGGTCTGGCCTGATGCTCCTTCGAGTTACCAGGATCTCACTCACTTTGAACGTATGTATCGTATCCCAGCGAAAACAAATATCCATACATTGGCAACTGGGGTGAAGAAAAAGGATTCCCGGAAACCAACAAATCTAGCTCCAGGCTCACGATTTAGTCCGCTTGCCAGAGTCTAATCGTGACTTGAAAAAAAATGCAGAACTATAGCTATAATGTAACACCCACAGCACCACCTACCTCCTCGACCCAGTCACTGCGCCTCCTGGTGACTAATGCTTTTGCTTAGCAAACAAATTTGGAGAATTTGTCCACACTGGCACGCATCACAATGTTGACATCGCTGTTGTGACCGAGACCAAGTGTGATGCAACTATCATGCCAGTTGACCAATGATAAAGAATGATGGCAGCACTGGGTGACCCAAATTCTCCAACAGGACTCAAACTGCTGGTGACTGATGCCTGTAGCCTTCGTAACAAGCTGGACGACCTGAGGCATGCACTCAACCAGCACGACATAGATGTAGCAATTATCACTGAAACTAAATTCTCTGCTGATGCCATAACTAGCCTTGACTCGTCCATCCCTGGATACGGCGTGCCACATCGCAGAGGCCGCAACGAGCACGGAGGAGGTATCGCTGTGTGAATCAAGTCCACCCTTGCTCATCTAGACCAACTCCAGTCTGCAGAACACGAAAGACTCTGGGTAAAGTCCGCCTCCGTGGTGGCACAAGCTTGGTGATCGGCTCTGTGTACCGTCCAGGCTCCTGTAGCCCCACCGACCTCTGCTCATCGATTCACTGCAGATTGGCTTGGTAGCGCGAAGTCAACCCCGGCCGGGGATGCCCTCGAGGATCTTTGTATAACCCACGAGCTCACGCAAAATGTCCGAGCACCCACTCGAGGTGCCAACACACTAGACCTAATCCCTCCACTTTCCAACAACCCATTAGCACCACTTTACTTGCCCCTTTAGGACGCTCAGATCATGGAACTGTGATAGCTCAATTCCCGACCATTTCACCATGCCGGGGAGAGGCCACCACACGTACTGTGTGGCGTTACAATCGTGCTGACTGGGGGAGACTCAGAGCACACCTCAAGGCTGTCCCTTGGGCCTCCATTATCACGGACAATCCAGAGTTGTCTTGCTTACAAGTCACCAATACCATCGGTGCAGGCATGGACCAGTTCATTCCCCATAAGACTCTCGTCATCCGCTCATCTGATCCCAAGTGGTGGACCCCTGAGTGCACACAAGTGATGCGTGTCAAGGACAGCGAATGGAGGAAATGGCGGCACGACCTCGGCAATGACGTCAAGAAGCAATCCTTCATCGACTATGTTACCAGCGCCACCACACTTCAGCACTCCAGGCAGGAGAAGGACCGGCACCTTCGGGCCCGGCTCACCTGCGGCTCGCTTCGCGACAAGGCATGGTGGTGCAACCTGAAAGGAGCATGCGGTCTTGGCCGAAACTCTGACATCCCCTCCTCCCCGACAATGCCGGGAAGGAACACATCACCAGCAAGGAGAAGGCTGACTGCTTTGGTCACTTCTTTGCTGGCAAGTGCAGCCTGGGTGACAGGGACCTACATCGTGCCTTCCTTGGAACCCCAGCGCCTGCTCACCCACATCTACCACTCACCCACGTCCACTTCCGCATCCGGATTGTTCACCGCCTCCTGCGCCGTCTCGACGCGTCAAAAGCCACGGGGCCGGACAGCATCTCCCCCCGTGTCCTGAAAGAATGTGCTTCGTTGCTCGCACCGGTCCTGACCAAGCTTTTCTCATTGTGCTTCCGGCATAGATACCAACCTCAGACCTGGAAGCTCGCCAATGTTGTTCCTGTGCATGAACGCTCATCTCGCTCACAGCTCGAGAACTACCGCCCTGTTTCTCTCCTTAGTGTGATATCCAAGGTAATGGAGACCATTATCAACATGCAAATTACGAACTACCTCGAGGGTAACTCACTGCTTGCAGCGAATCAGTTTGGCTTCAGACGGAATCTGGGTACGGCCGACGCTCTTACTGCGTTACACCACTCCTGGGTATCCTCTATCGGACACGGGGCGCAGCACGCGTAGTTGCAGTTGACATCGCTGGAGCCTTCGACATGGTCTCTTATGCAGGTGTCCTCTTCAAGCTACAGCAATGTGGGATCCAAGGAATCCTCCTTGCATGGCTGACATCGTACCTGTCGTACCGAAGCGTACAGTGTGTTGTCGGTGGTGCAACCTCCCGTCCATACCCCATTAAGGCGGGAGTCCCACAAGGCAGCATCTTGGGGCCAACCATATTTCTCATATACATTAACGACGTATCAACATGCCTTCCTGGGAACATGCAGCTGGAAGCCTATGCTGACGATACGAGATTGTATTTTGATCCGAAACTGTCCTTCAAGGAGCACATCCGTGCAGTGTCTATACGTGGCAAACAACGTTTGGGCCTCCTGCGGCGAGCTGCGCCCTATCTCTCTCGAGAAGGCCGCCTCACGGTGTACAAGGGGTTTGTACGGCCTGTTTTGGAGTATGCTCCACTCGTCTGGATGAGAGCTGCTCCCTCCCATCTGTTATGGTTCGTCTATACTCGGTGGTCGCCGTTCACACACTCAAACTCAAGACAGTCCAGTCACCTTGAAAACGCAAGCCTTCCTTTCCACAACTCTCCGAGAACTCCCCGAGAGCAACAACCAGTACCAGATTATATCCCCAAAAGCAGAAGTATGTGTACCGTAGAACAGAGTTGGCGTGCAAAGAGTAGCAAAGAGTAGCAAGTCCTGTACGCGTAGAACCTAGCGCAGAACCAAGCGGCGGAGTACACACATGCAGCTGCACGTGCACGCGCCAAATCTCTGATGCAGACATGAATCATCTCTGAGAGCTGGGTGGTAGAATGCCTACGGGGCTTACGGGGCCATGCTTTCAGCACCTAGACCTGAACACGGAGAAGTGAGGATTCATTAGCCAAGAGGGCTATACAATCAGGACATCGATGAATACATGCGGTTAAGGTTACAACACCATCTTATGGGACCATTGTCATTAGGTTCCGGCCTGTTTTGGAACTCTAAACAAAGCCATACAACAACAACATCATCTTGCACGCCTAGATAGCATCGAACGCCGTGCATTGCGCATCATTGGTCCCGGGATGGAGCTACAGAGCCGCAGCCTACTGCTATGCCAGATACCGCCAATAATGCATCGGCCAGGCGTCAGGCGCGAACTGATGGTGGTGGTGGTGAGAAGGAAATCTCTGTGCCAGAACTTTGCAGCCTAGAGAGCATGTGTGGGCAGGCGTGTGTTTACCGCCATATTGCCAGGTGTGTCTTTACCACCATATTTATCAACCATAAGTACAGCTGCAGTGGCGTCTTCAATTTCATTCTCCCGAGTCCTGCTCCGTATGAAGACATGCAAGAAGATTGCCTGATGAGTCCTGCTATGCCGGATACCGCCAGCCATGCATCGACCAGGTGCCAGGCGCGAACTGATGGTGGTGGTGGTGAGAGGGAGAGCTCTGTGCCAGAACTTTGCAGCCTACAGAGCGTGTGTGGGCAGGCGTGTGTTTACCGTCATATTGCCAGGTGGGTCTTTGCCACAATATTTATCAACCATAAGTACAGTTCACCCCAGTCAAGCTCCGTATGAAGACATCCAAGAAGAAGATTGCCTGATGAGTCCAGCGGGGACGAAACGTACGTCGCAATCGAGCTATGTCGTTGCTGTGTCATCATCTATGTGCCATGCGCTACTTGATTTACCAGCCTGCTATGCCGGATACCGCCAGCCATGCATCGCCTAAGATGGGTCATTATGTTTACCCCTTTTTGCTACAAAAGGATGAAGTCCACTATCTGTTAGCCATTCTACATTATCAACCTTCACTGACGAGATCCTGATGATCGAAACAGCTGCTGTCTGAAGGAGCAGAGTACCAACTGAAGTGTGGTGTGGTGGTTGATAAGAATTATATTCTTTTTATTTTAATTACAGTGAAGAGACCGTTTTTGGAGTTTAGAGTTAAGAATCCATAAATACAAATACAATTACAGAAGTGAAATTTCCTAAATTTCATGTGTAAGTTGCTGCATCGGAGTTTGCGAACAATAAGTTTAATTTTAATTATTTTCAGAATATAACAGAGGTTCCAGGCTGTCAAAGAGAGTGCTCAATACCGAGAGGCAGTGCTAGTTCAAACAAGAATGAGAGGACGAAAACAGTGTTCTGAAAACACTTTTTTCCCCTCTTCTTATCCATCAGCACTCACCCTAAGGCCGGAGATTGGCACCCACTGGGCTAGCATCCAGCAGCCAAGATGTGAAGCCATGCATCATTATGAATATTAAAATGATGGTAGGTAAACAACAGAGAGAAACACACAACACTTTTTTAGAATATCGATCATAGTACTATGCTATACGGTAACACTGCCAAGTTAGCTGCAAGTTAGGACCAAGTCAAAGGCAGCCAAACATTCCATGCATCATGTTATACAACAGTGTAACACACAAGTAAAAAAACGATCAGAATGTACCAATCAGAATATGCAACATCACAACGGGATCATCAGTGGCAATACGTGAGCAAACTCTACCTTGATGACAATATCAAAGGTGATAACGATAATAGGAGGACAACTGTGCCAGTGGTAGTGGATGCTGTTACACTGTTCATGACTATTAAGTTGTTTCTTGCAACTTCTAAATATATTTTGTGTCCCATACATGCACAGTTGGCTTTTGGATGGAATTTCATTCAACCTTCGCTTGTGCGCTCTCAAGATCCCTAAGGACTTTTCACAAGGCACCATCTTTAATAAAAAATCACATCAATTAAAGAATTATATTGCTTCAAGTAAGTACATCACACATTCCAGGGCTTACCGTTGAACTTTACACATTCCCTTCGTGCACACTTATTGGTCTCCTTTCAGCAAACAGAATCTACTGAAACCAGCATGTTCTCGTTTGAAAGTACGAACAAGTAATTATTCATCCTGAAGCTATGCAAAAGAAAATACTTAGTGTCTGTTGTTAGCCAGGGTTCATGCAGATATCGGTGTGATGGCGTGTGTTTCTGGCTTTGGGCATGCCAACCAGAACAACAACAACCCATCCTCTGCCGACCAAACTGAGGCAGCGGAAAGTTCCAGCTTGCAGGTAATCGCTCCCAGTCCCCAAAGTCCGCCACCCCTCAGCCTAGAGGCACTGGGGTTGGCAATGACGACGAGGCCTGCATTGTTGCCTCTGACGATGCGGATGAGATGCCCTGCGCTAATCGCCGTTGCCGAAACAGCCATGGTCATGTAACCATGGAGGAGAAAACCAAGGCCGATGAGACATGGCCCTCCCCTCAGAGGAAACACCCGAAATACTGAGTCCAGATAAGTTTCAACCGTGATAACCAAAAAACATACAACTTCCAAAGCAAATACCAATGTCATTGAATTTGAACTTTCTGAGTACCAATGTGCGTTGCTTATTCAGCAAATTGGACCAGTTAGGCCACATTTTGTTTTTTCTATGTTTCTCGTCATCGCCTGCATAGGTTTTCAGAAATTTCGGAAGAAAAAAAGGTTCATACTACGTACATGTGTACATGTATGTACGCTGCACATGCTGCAGCAGCTAGATCAGAAGATGCATCAATCAATAATTGTAAACGCTTGCACCACAGCAGCAAAGAAGCGCTCCTCGTCCGTTCTCTGCGATGAAGGCTGTTATGACGAATTTCAGTCGTTCACTGCCTGAGCCTCACGGACCCCAGGAATACCGTAAGTCGGACGAGTTCCGCGGCAACTGGCGTCTGTGGAACGATGTCGTAGGAAGAAAACCCAAGCAATAGACCCTGGCAAGGAAAAGATGAGCAGCATAGAGCAAGAGTTTGATAAGCAGAGACAAGAGTTTGATAAGCGGACACAAGAACGTTGAAGTAACAAAACCAAAAATTAATGACGAGTGGGAAACGTTTGTTGATGCGATAGCAGATAAATGAATGTTCTCTTCGCCATCTCGTAATCAAACTTTATGCTCTCACTGTTGCAGTTTGCCTGATATTCGTGGGCTGATGTGATAATGTAGTGCAATCATGTATGGGACTACATGTACATGATTGTACAATGTAGTACTCTATACATGGTATACATGGCAGTGTCTTGTATGAATCACGCATATACATGTAAATTGTATGCAGTTTTCAGTAGAAATTGTTCTTGTTTTTTTCCTTGGCTTTTGTTTTTTCCGCCTGCCCGTAAACCGTTTGTTAAAATTTGCCGACGAGAAACAGAGAAAAAACAAAGTGTGGCCTTACTGTAAATCAACTAATTTTCGCTGGCGATTTAATTTCTCTGATTTCGCCGCTGGGTACCAACCGGCCAAAGTAAATCGCAGGCCAAAATTTGTCATAGAGGCAAATGATGCATTATTATGCCATCGCTGCATGTGAGGGCAACAAATACCAATCGATTTCTTTTTTGAAAACCCAAATCGGCCAAAGTTAAATGACGGCCAAAAGTTTCCTTTCGAGATCGGCCAAAGTTTGTCATCGGCCAAAATTTGTTCATTCACAGTAGTAGTACTTTATCGGTTCGTCTGAATCTGAATCTCCCAATGAACTATCAGTCAGTGCAGTCCCGGAAACCTGAGCTGACACATCAGACTCTGACAGTCTCTATGCAATCCCAGGCCACAACCTGACCAGAGCTGACAGGCAGCGCTTTGGTGGTGGCGTTTGAATTCTTTATTCTCACGATGGCACCATCGCCAATAAGAGATAAATATATGAGAAGGTGAGATTGTGGGTTAAACAGTTGGAAAGTGATTTACATCACTTTGAACTTTACAAGTATGGGAGAGGGTGAGCGCTGCAGGAGCAGATTGAGTTAATCAGCAGCGAGCAGATTTCTTGTTTGAAAACAGTTCGAGAGGAGACGTCACGAATGCTAGCAGGGAGGGCATTGTAGTATTCTAGGGACTTGTACAGTGGGGAGTCTATACAGCGATCAGTTCTTGAGGGTGGGAGGTGCCAAGTGCGTGCGTGTCGAAGGCTGTACTGGGCCGTAACTTGAGCGGGGATGTTGAGCATGCGTATGTGTTGTGGGGCATATTTGTATTTTATGGAGTGAGCAAGAACGGTGAGCTTCACTTTGCGGCGAGAGAACATTGTCGGCCATTTGAGCCGTTGGCGCAGTGTTGAATGATTCAGAGGAGTGTAGAGGGGGAGACGGAAGCAGATTCTGGCCGCGTTGCGCTGGATTCGCTCAAGACAGTCAAGGGCTGCGATTGAGAGCGGGGTGACAGCAATGCATGCATATTCAATTATAGGCAGGATATATGTTTTGTAAATGAGAGAGAGTGATTTAGTGTTTAGAGTTGATTTGAGCCTAAAGTGAATATTGAAAGATTTTACGGCTTTCTTCAGCACAAAGTCAAGGTGGGCTGAAGGTCGAAGAAGCAAGCAATTACTGTTTGCCCGGCGTCTCTTTTCTCGGTGATCTGATGGATTAACCGAGATAGCTGCTGTGTGGTGCCATCGTTTGGCCGAAAGCCTGATTGGCCGTTGGGGAGGTGAGGTTGGATGTGCTTTGAGATGCGTTCAGCAACTATCCTCTCTTGTACTTTCGACGTCACGCTGAGTAGCGATATCGGTCGATAGTTGGAGGGCTCGGTTTTGCTGCCCTTCTTGTGGATGGGGGTGACTGTTGCGTCCCTCCACTCTTGCGGGATAGTGCAACGTTCGAAGGAGATGTTAAAAAGGGTTGCTAGGGACAGCGCAAGTGAACTGGCTGCCTCTTTCAGTAGGCGGGTTGGTATGCCATCACAGCCCGGGCTCTTCGACGGGTCCAGGTTAGACAGTAATTTTGAGACCTCTTGGGCTGTTGTTTCAAGTGTAGTGAGGCCAGGTGTATTGGGTGTGGGGGAATGAATGGAGGGAAGTTCCTCGTGGCATCCTGTGACTGACTGTTGGCTCTGCGAGATGAAGAAAGCGTTCAGGGTGGTTGCTTTTTCAGCGGGGGTTGAGAGAGTCTTGCCCTGGGAGAGCATGTCTGGCAGAGTAGGTCGTTGTGAGGACTGGAGGCCGCGCATCAGTTTGTGTAGGTTTGGTGTGGAGTGGCTCGTCCCAGTGCCATTACTGACATATGTAGACTTAGCGATTCGGAGAAGGTGAGTAACTTTGTTGCGTTGGGTGGTGTATGCTGTCCAGTTGCAGGGCGTCCGGGTGCGCAAGTAGGCACGGTAGAGCCGGTGTTTTTCTCTGATGGCGTTAGTGAGCTCTGGGTTCAGCCATGGCTTTGCGGGGTGGCTAGTATGCCTCGGGGAGTGAGGTACTGCACAGTGTTTGCGGGCGCAAGTGAGGACTTTGTCCTTCCATGAGTGCCACAGGTTGTCTATGTTGGTAGTGTTCAGGGTGTCACCTTCCGGTAGTAGTTGTGTGCGATCAATTTCGGCTTTCAGACTGCTGATGCTTGGGTTTGACCATTTCCAATGGGTGGTGTTATGGGTGGGAGGTGGTACGGCTCGAGGGGGTGCAGCGACTGGCTTGATTAAACCCCTGATGGATAGGTGGTCCGAGTTGCCGATCTGCGGGAGACTAGAGATAAGGACATAGTCGCTGTCTACATCCGTGACGACGAGATCTAGGCAGGATTTAGGGTGCCCATTCTGCACAAGAGTGGGGAATGTGACATGTTGGTGTAGAGAGTAAGTTTGGAACAGCACTGCTAGATCCTTGCCAACAGCATCTGTCGTGTCAGAGTGGCACCAAGCGGCGTTCTTTGCATTAAAATCACCGAGGATAATCTTTTGCGTTGTTGTTGGTATGGCTCGTATCAGTTCCTCAAGGTGCTGGCAGAATAGCCGATGGTCACAACAGGGTGGTCGGTAGACGCATGTTGTGTTGATGGTGCTGTCGTTGGCTGACAGTTTCAGCGATAATAGGTCAAAGCTGTCTGGGGTTGTTGTAGGGACGAGTTCATGAGGTATAGTGTCGTTCACATAGAGAATCACTCCTCCACCTTGGCGGTCTAGACGGTCTGCACGATGTAGTGTGTATCCACTGAGGGCAGACAGGGAGTCTGGGTCTTGGTGGGTAAACCATGTTTCAGAGACAGCAATAACATCATTAGGTGGCATTGTTGACGATGCTATTGCTGACAGTTCGTCCATTTTGGGGTAGAGACTGCGAGCGTTGAAGGAGAAGAAAGAGATGCTATTTTGTTTATTTCCGTTGTTGTTGTGTTGTTGTTGTTGTTGTTGTTGTTGTTGTTGTTGTTGTTGTTGTTGTTGTTGTTGTTGTTGTTGTTGTTGTTGTTGTTGTTGTTGTTGTTGTTGTTGTTGTTGTTGTTGTTGTTGTTGTTGTTTCAAATCTATATTCTCACGATAGCCAGTGGCCAATAAGAGATAAAAGTGTAAGAAAGGAGAAAGAGTGAGGAAGAATTGTGTGTGAGGAACAATTGGGTGGCCAGGGCCAAGGGGTTAATGACTACTCAAGTGTACGGGCAGGGGTGGTCGCTACACGAGCATACCGAGTTGTGTACTTAAGTGTACGGGCAGGTGTGGTCGCTACACGAGCATACAGAGTTGTGCAACAGCAGGGATATCTGGGATTTGAAGGGAGTACGAGAAGGGATTTTGCGAAGCTGGATGGGCAAGCAATTAAAGTAATTAATGACCTTGCACAGGGGAGAATGGAGATAGCGGTCAGTCCGCGGAGTTGGCAAGTGCCAAGTATGAGAGCGATGTAAATTATACGAAGGTTGCACATTGCTAGCAGCATGCAGCGAGAGTATATGTGATGGGGCATAGTTGTGGCGA